CGCCACCAAATAAAACTCCTTCAGATGTCAAGGAAAATTGTAGAGCCTTCATAAAAAATCTTCCAGCGATCTCAAGTCACTATTGTAAGGAGATAATGAAAGGAAATATTTACCAGTGGAATTCCAGAATGTACCCAATTTATCCAGGATTTAGAGGCACCATTTCAACTTTTTGAATGAACCCCATGTTAACGAAAAATTATTCAAGAAAATATTCAAAGACGATTTCTATATTGGGTTTCAACAATCAGAAAGAGATGAATGCAACACTTGTGAGCAGTATGAAAATATACCTGATGAGGAAAACAGTGGAACTTCACAAGAAAATTACGCATCGCATCAACAAGAAGCTCGAGCTTCATTGATAAGCAGAAAAGAATCGAAAATAACCATCGTTTATTATGCGTTAGTTTTGACTCACAGAAAGTTCTGAATATGCCACATGAAAACTCAATGGTATTATTTTACAGCAGAAAGTATGCCTATTATGATTTTTCAGTTTATGAAAGTTGTTCCGACACCATTTCATTTTTAGTATAGATATATAGTTGATTAGTTATTTTAAGTTACATTTATATTTCTCTTCGAGTCTGAAATCGCGATCATGGTCGTGCTTTTCCATTCTAATCTCAAGAAAGAAGAAAATATGGATACGACACGTGGCAACGCTGTAATTTTTTTGGACGGGTCGTCTCGAATCCACCTAGACACTCGAAAATTGATAGCGATCGATATCGATTCGAAATACCAGACAATTCGGTATTCTCTCGCTCATATCAAAATTTCTGCGGGTCTCGCGCGCGAGTGAAAACTTATCAGTTTCCTCATCAGCAATCTCCTCTTGGGTGCAACTGGATCCACGATTCAGCAAATACTTAGTCCTGCCAGACGTCAGAAGAAGCGTATTTCCGCATTGCTCAAATTCAAATTCTTACATCTCACATACAGTCCACTATCATTATCTCCAAAACATTGGACCTTCGACAGCCGGATAACTTGTAGCGGTTGTAATTGACCTAGTGTAACTACTCGATATATATTTTTTTCTTTTTTCTCACTCTTCCTCAATACAAGAATCTCATCGGTCGAATCGGTCCCTTTGGTTTGTTTAATGATAATTTAGAGTTAGTATTACAGAGAAAAGGGAACCTACCGGCCATAGGTGTATCATTATCGTTCATAGTATCTTCGGATTTTCCGAAGTGCATAGACAGCTATACAGCTATAGTTATCTATGCCGAAGTGTTGAGTCCATTTCGTGGGAGATAAACAAGTTTTTATTCCGGGAGTTTTTTGTGACACTATACTATCCATTTGAATACTCTTAAAATTAAACTGTTTTGGTATTCATTTCTGATAGATTGATTATAATTGATAATAATTTCGAACGTAAATAAATATACAGGGTGTTTTTCGATTTGATGTTGATGGGTCAGATTAATTTCATACGTAATTAATAATATGTTGATTCATTGATCAGCTAGACTATACAGGGTGTCGCTTTGACATTATCGTTAATTCAAAATATTTAATTTGCAATTCCTTTAATTTGTTCATTCATTGAGTATGGCAACCTCAAACAAAATTAAACATCTCACAGCTCTGCAACAAATGTATATCGAACGAATGAAAGACCTGTGCACTGTTGCTAATGCTGACTTCGTCGGATCTTCATTTGCATCTCAGAGCTAAGTACTTGCATATTGATACCATTTATACTAAATTCGAAACTCACACTAATCAATTACTCCCACTGTTGATTGCTGCCGATTCCTATAATGTTGAAGAATCTAGGGAATTGGGTAAACAGTTTTTTCATGATTATTATTCAGCAAAGACAATTTATAGTCAAATAATATTTAGCAATCTCACACCACATGATGATTCTAATCAATCTCAGTCCAATATAGGTGGTCAATTGAAATTACCCAAGATTGAACTAGTCAAGTTTGATGGAAATTTGAAACATTGGAAAATTTAATTATCTCGTCTCATCTCTGATAGGTCCTCCTTTGGCACTCATCAAATGCAACCCTATCACTGATACAAACTACATAATTGCTTATAACTCTCTTGTCAACAAATCTGACAATAAAAGCCTCTTAGCAACAGCTCATTACCTAGAATTGGAAAACTCTCAAAAACTATCCGAAAATAATGTCAACTCTCAGAATTAAAGGAAATTATGTGACACTCTCACGGAAAATGTTGCGGCGTTGAAAAATTTGCAATTCCTCACGGACGCATGGAGCTTTTTATTATTCAACATGCTTCTTCGACGTCTTGATTCCAACACAGTTTCTAAATTTGAAATTGAGTTTGGGAGTAATGACATTCCAACTTTCGATTCGTTGACGGAATTTGTTCGCAAACATTGCAGTGCACTGGATCGTGCAGCCGAATGTACACAATCAAAATCGCAGAAATTATTTGAGAGCAGAGTACGTCAACAAGTCTCTGCTCCGGTTGTTCATAGGAGATCACCTTCTTCATTCCATGCCGAAGTTAGACACATCTCGAATTGTTCAATGTGTGGTGGAAACCATGCAATTCATAAATGCTCCCAGTTCATAGCGTTATCTCCACGTGAGCGATATAACACTGTCAAGTCCCATCGTTGGTGCATTAACTGTCTGGGATCGAAACATGATTCAGCCCATTGCTCATCTCACTTTATCTGTATCAAATGTGGCATGAAACATCATAAACTGCTTCATTTCAACACTGACACTCCCATCGACAAGTAGATCATCTTTCAGTTCATTTCAACGCCAATCTCCATCTCAACAAACTTCTAACTCTTCTGATGTAACTCAAGATCAAGCGACCGTGCCTTCAAATGCTTATTCATCCTCTGATCAAGTTCAAACCTCTTTCTTAGCCTCCTCCGATCAATCAAATGCTTTTATTTCATATTCTCCTCCTTTCCTTGATTCTGTTCCTTTGGCAACTGCTCAGATAGAAATTTTGGATGATAGAGGTAACTATCAAACTATTCCCACTGGGCTGGTGGCCGTGAGCGTAGAGTCGCTGGCTGTTGCCCAGGCGGTCCGGGTTCGATCCCCGGCACGAGCACTGAATTAATTTTCGGTAGTTTCGTTGGGCGGGAGGAGATAGGTGGCCAACCCAACATTCTTGGTACCTAGATATCAATCCTTTGGACTGTCCACGGTTACCAGCCGAGTAGTGCTTCGGATGACACTTAAAAAGCTAAGGTCCCCGTCTTCTTAACTCACACAAGTCTCTGACTTTCGAGGGTTGCTTTGCAACTAAGCTGGCGGTTGAAAACACTTTTAAACACACTTTTTAAATTCGAGCTCTTCTCGACTGTGGAAGTCAAATCAACATAATTAGTAATAAATGTTCCAATCGTATGGGACTTCATCTACAAAGAAGGTCTGTATCAATTCAAGGCATTTGCCACATGGATTCTCTCGCTACCAAAACAGTCAATTTTAGGATTCGCTCATGCCACAGTCACGCACACGTTTATAGCATTGATGCAGTCGTCCTGCCAAAAGTGTGTAACAAAATGCCCAGTTATCCTGTGTCTTCGGGATCTTGGTCCCATATTTCGAACATTCCTCTTGCTGATCCAGGTTTCAGTATTCCCAGTGACGTTGATATCCTCTTGGGTGCTGACATTTGTTCGCAAGTGCTCGAAGGTGGTAGAATTCCTGGATAAAAAGGAGAACCAGTCGCTTTCAATACTCCTTTCGGGTGGATACTTCCGACGAACATTCTTGTGAAGAAATTGATTGTAAAACAACATCCAGAGAAACTTCAGGTCGATACAAAGTTTCATTACCTTTCAAATATATTGAATCAGATTTTCCTGATTCTCGCTCTATAGCTCTCAGACGGTTTCTCTCAGTAGAACGGAAATCACTCTCAAACTCCCAACTTTATGAACAATACTCAGAGTTCATGAAAGAATATTTAGAAAAGGGCCATATATCCTTGTTGGACAAACCTCAGTTCAATAAACAGCCCTATTATATTCCCCATCACTGTATTCTCAAACCCGAAAGCACTAGTACTAAATTGAGGGTCGTATTTGACGCCTCCGCCAAAACTTCTGATGGCTTATCGCTCAATGTCTGTCTTTTTCCCGGCCCGAAACTCCAAAAAGATTTAGGTACTATTCTCTTCAGTTTTAGAATTCACTCTGTCGTTTCAACTGCTGATGTCAAGCGAATGTATAGACAAATCTTGGTATCCGAAAATCACAGGAACTCTCACCCAATGCCTCTATTCAAGAGTATGTGCTCAATACCGTAACATATGGTATCAGTTCAGCACATTTTTTGGCCATCAGGAGTCTACTACAACTTGTTGACGATGAAGGTTCTAGATTCCCTCTTGCTTCTGAGGCTATCAGATCGGACACATACGTAGACGATATTGTAACAGGTTGTAGTTCTCTTGAAAAAGCCTTAGAGTTGAAATCTCAGCTCATCTCGCTATTCAGATGTGGTGGGTTCGAACTCCATAAATGGAACAGCAACCATCCAAATCTTCGTCTTGACGAAACCTCAACAGACTCTGTTGCACTCGATTTTGATGACTCACATGTGCTCAAGGTTTTAGGTTTGCACTGGAATTCAAGTCAGGATATTTTTTCATTCCATGTTTCCGTTCGTGATGCTCTCTGTACAAAAAGAAATATTCTTTCTAATTGAAGAGTAAACTCAAATAAGGGGGTAAGTACCAAAATACAGTTTTTTATTTTTATTTTATAAAAAGGTGTTGAATACCATATCTCATGTCCCTTAAAAGGGGCTAAGTTCCAAACGAATATTTTCTTTCCGTAATCGGCTACACAGATGGCGCACCTGTGTAAATGCCAAGCGTCGTTTCCAATCAAAGGGGCAAAGTGCCATCAGTATTATTTTGTTTGGCATATAAATGAAACGTTTTTTTCTGCATCATCCATTTCGCAGTGTTTGCTCTGTCGGAAGCATTGTGTTTGTGCGTTCTTGCGTGATATAAACAATAAAATGAATATAGGAAACGATGATGATAATAATAAAAAAAATATGGAACTGGAATTAAGTTCCAGGTTTGACAAGAACACAAAGGGTCCGGTGAAGAATATGTGTCTAGGAAAAAGTGTTCCAGCAAAAAAGCAACCGGATCTTGAGGTATTTTAATTTTCGGCTCGGAGAGTGTTTTACTCATTTGAAATCTTTGATTCTAGATGGTGTGCAAATGTTATGATGATGGTTGCAAAAATATTGAAGGTGAAGAGAAGAAGAAACTTTTCGATAATTTCTACTCTCTGGATCTGAACGCACAAGGATCATTTCGTATGTCCCATATGCATTTAGGAGAGGTTAAGAGAAGACGAAATGGTCAATATAATGACCCAAGGGAGAGCAGAAGGCAGAGTACGGTATATTATACTTCACCTGAAGGATCATGAAGTGTTGTAAACGTTTGTAAGAAAACCTTTATGAATGTATTGTCACTGGAAAAAAAAAAGATAGAAATTCTGATAACAAAGAAAAAAAGTGGTGATATAGCCTACACAGATGAACGCGGAACTCATGGCAATCATCGAAAAGTTTATACCAAAGAAGATCGTGACCGTATATAAGTCACATAAATTCAGTACCAAAAGACGAGAGCTATTACTCTCGTGAAAAAAGCTCAAAATTGTACCTTAGCCCTGACCTTAATATCCATCGTCTTGCAAAAGCTTTCAATAAGAAGTATCCAGACAATCAAGTGCTATATAAATACTACTGCAGAGTTTTCAAGAAAGAATTTCCAAATTTGAGTTTTCGTAGGCCCAGAACGGATACTTGTAAGACCTGCGACAAATACGCATGTGTGATAAAAAAGGACAAAAATGCATCGCCTGCTGTAAGCGATGAGTTACAGTTGCACCACCGTAAGGCAGAGAAAGCTCAAACCATCCTTAAAGGAGATTGCGCTTTTTCCCAGCAACCAGGAAGTGATACTTGCACAATAACAAAAGATCTAGAAAAAGTATTATTCGTTCCAACGTTAACTCACTCCGATATGTATTACATGAGGCAACTGTCTGTTTACAACTTCAGTGTGCATATTGCTGATACAAATGAAGCCTTCATGTGTGTTCGGAATGAAATCGAAGCTTCCAGGGGTTCTAATAAAATCATGTCCTGCTTACTGAAGGTTTTAAATTCCAACGTTACAGAAAAGGAAAAACTGAACATATGGTGTGACAACTGCACAGGGCAGAATAAGAATCGGGTGGAAATATTTTTAATGCTGTTTTTAACATCTATTGCTGTATTCACAGAAATAACTATGAAATTCCTCGTCAGTGGTCACAGCTACTTACCTAATGATCGTCATTTCGCACAGATAGAAAGAAGAAGAAGACTTAAAAAATGCTTCGTGCCTGAGGACATAGAACAACTCATCAGAGATACCAGATCAATACAGCCATATAAAGTTGTAAAAATGGAACCTACACACTTTTTGAATCTGCAACGAGATGCGGATTCCTTGATATCTACTACTAAGCTTTCGATATCAACGTTGTCACAGATACGAGTTACGAAAGATAACCCAGGATATGTGTTTTTTTAAAAATCGCACAGTGATATCGAAAATTGGCAAAAGATAAAAGTTTTCAAGAAAAATATATCTGGGGACCAAATAAAAAACGTACAGATATTTGGACAGGAATCGACCCCAGAACTTAATGAAGTTTAAAAGCAAAATTTACGTGCTTTGATTCCATATCTTCATTCACCAGAGCACCGGGAGTTCTACCAAAAACTCACAGTATAGTTGCCGGCACTTACCTACCATGAAAATGCTAGTGGTACTTTGCCCTTTTCCATTTTTTTAATTTTCTTTTGTTTGTATCAAAAACATTTTGGATTTTTTTTGTGTTTTTCTCACTTTGTTAATGTTTTAAGTGCAAATAAACAATTTTGTCAAATTAAAAACATTTTTATTCATTGGCACTTAGCCCCTTATTCAAGTCTACTCTTCAATTTAGCTCAAATATTTGATCCTTTAGGATTCGTTGCCCCTCTCACCCTCTTCGCAAAGAGAATGATCCAACACTTATGGACTATAGGATTAGGCTCAGACGATGTCCCACCTACAGACATTATAAATATATGAGATCAGTACAGATCGGAACTTCCTCAACTCTCCCGAATTGTTATTCCTCGTCAAATCATTTCGGCGTCAGTAGTTTCTTGCGAACTTCATGGATTCGCAGATGCAAGCAAAAAAGGATACGCGGCCGTAGTATATGCTCGATTTTTTGAATCAGACTCCATAAAAACTGTCATAGTTTGTGCCAAATCGAAGGTGTCGCCGTTGAAAGTAATATGTATACCTCGCTTGGAGTTTTGATCCAAGTACTATGATTGCACTGACCTATCTGGAAAATTGAACTCATGAAGCTTCACATTCCGTGTGTCCCATATGGAGTCACACTGACACAATACATGTTATAAAACAGTTCGTAAAATGCATAAGATCTTTTATGAGTGAAACTTCATGAGTAAAGACGATTCGGAGATAATCAATGCTGAAATACCTTAGATAACTTTTAAAATGGCAGTATTCGACAGAAATGCTGTGATCCCTATCAATTCAGTATTGAAATCGCTCCATGAAAAATGTCTGGAACTTCATGAGATGAAGTAAGGCTGACAAAAAAATTGTATGGAAAGTGTTTCAAGTTAAAGAAATTTGTATTTGAATCATGAACATTGATAACAGTTAGAGCTGTTATCCTCCCAGGCATTTCCTCGACAAGATTCCTGATGAAGTTCTGGGAAATAGCATTCCATTCATCCAATATCGCATTCGTCAATTCATCCAAATTATCAATTTCACCCTCTCTCCTTCTCAATTTCGATCTCATCCGACTCCAAACATGCTCAATTAGATTCATATCTGCTGACAAAGGTGGCCAATCCATTCTCTCGATATTGTTTCCTCTCAATAGTTTGGTGATGAATAATGCTCGATGAGGTGGCATTATCATCGACCAAAATGAAATCATCCCCAAAATTTCGGGAATATGGTATCACAATATCTATCAAACATCTATCTTTGTATCCTTATGCATTCATGCTTCCTCCTTTCAAAACCACCAACTCAGTCCTCCCTTTTATCATAATACCACCCCATACAGTCACACTACCACCCCCATAAGCCCTCATCTCCATATTTTCTTCCATGAATCTCTCATTCCGACATCTCCATACCATGACACATTCATCCGATCGAAAAAGATTCAATTTGCACTCATCAGTTAATATACACCTACTGCATTCTGCTACTCCCCAGTTTTAACGCTCGGCAGCCCATTGCCTACGGTGAGCCCGATGACGCTACCCTAACAACAGGCATGCAGCTCGTCTCCTGGATCCTAAACCGCATTCGTTCAATCGTCTCCGGACAGTTTCAACAGATATTCTTACTCCTGTTGCGGTCCTCAAGGAATTGTTTATCTGTCGGGCAGTACTGGTCCTGTCCCGACGAGCAGCAGTTTGGAGGAAATAATCATCTCTGGGCTGTGTAGCCCTGGAACGCCCTCTACCATGACAATATCTCGTAGCCCCTTGGTTCCGCAAACGGTTGATTATTGCTCTTTGAACAGTACCTTTTGATGAATTGACATCATCTACGATTCTTTTGATGAAACAACCATCATTCCCTAATCTGGCTATATTTGCCAATTCAGGTGTCGTTAGCATAGGTATTTCTCAATGTGTACTTTATGACTGCAAATACGATCTGGTTCATGTGAGAAACGATAGTTCCATAAAAACAAACCATTTTTTGATCCTTGTTGGATTCGATATGATATACAGAATTTTTCAATGTATCGATATTGAGAGAAATGAGAACTGCCTACCCCATCTCAAAAACTATGGTATTCACGTCGACAGTTAATCAAAAAGGATAGAAATTGTTTTGAAACTCCGAAAGCAGATTTATACTCCGTATGAACGCACAATAATTGGAATATTACAAAACCCACTTCTGGATCCTTAATCATGGTTTTTCGATGCACCTCGTATCTTCAGGATGACAAATATATTCCTATGAACGAGGGGATATGGGGCAATTTAGAACTGATTTCGAATCCCCGACTATAGAGGTATAATGATAAAAAACTACCTCTCTGAAATTATTGACGCGATCGAAAAAAAAAACGGAATTGTTTCAAAATATCTCATTATTTTTCATTATTGCAACCGAAATATTCATTTGTGTAATCATCCAGACAGTAGAAATGCGATCAAAAGTCTATAACTTGAAACACATCGCCATGTTCATATACAAAGAAATCTAGCCTGAATCAATCCCTGGTAATCACTCTGTATTGGCCATTGTATGGAAGTGATTGAATTTTTTTATGGAGTACGCAACCGTGAAAATACCTCTCGCAACAATTTTTGAAACATAAATATATCCTTTTTTTGGCACATTACACTAAAAAAATTATATTGTTTATACAACGTATTCACACAATGTTTTATCACTAACCAAACCGATTTCTTTCACCTCGACACGTGTTTCGCTAACAATGTCAGCATCTTCAGAAGAAGATTGAAACTAAATACTTTATCCTAGAGGGCTTCTTATCGTATACTAAAAATATGTCCACCCAACCGTGAATTGTTGAAGTCACATGTTATATACAACTAAACTATACAAGGGGCTGAATGGAAAAGATCCATTATCCTTATACATTGCTCTATATTTATTCCTAAATATCTCTGAGCATTCACATGCATCTAATTTTTCAACATTATTAACTTGCTCAACTGATTTGAGGTTATCAATAGGTGTGTTATGATTGTGATTGAATATGTGTTCGCCTACACAAGATTTATTCAACCTTCCATATTTCAAATATGTGCTCTTTGAACCTTGTTTTGAGACGCCTGGTTTGGCCTATATTATGTTTTATCGCAATCATTATGACTTTTCAAGGGTGTCCACCTCATCTCTTGAATTATCAAATAAATTGCCTAACTTCGACCCAGACTGATACACGCTTTCAAAACCTGAGTCTTTGAGAAGTTTATCAAGTTCTCTCGTGTACTTGGGATTGAAAGGGATCAGGATTTTTTTCTGGTTGTTTTTATCCGCTTGAAAAGTAGTAGAATTCCTGAGTGATAACTTGAATTTTTGTCTACGTATTAATTTCTCTACTATTCAATACTGAATACTATAATCAATGGAAATCGAAAACTATCTCGAGGTATAGCATTGAACTTCATGAAACATCATGAAGATTTGAAGAGAACAGAAGAAATTTTTTGGACGGAATGGGGTGACGACAGTGTACCATTGATCGCCCTGTTCTATTTTATTTCATGATATTTTCAGTTCTTCGAATTCAAGGATCTCGGGAAAATAGAATGAGCTTCTGAATTCTAGAAACCGAATTGAAATCTGAATTTTAAATTTCAAGTGTCCCACTCTGTGAGAGAATGAGCCTTTGTGCGTGGAAATAGTCACGAGTTCTTTAGAATTATTCTCCAATGAAATTTGTTGATACGCCTCTGGAAGATCTATTTTCGAAAATTCAATATCCCCTTCTAATTGACTGAACAGATATTCTACTCTTGATAGTGGAAATTGTACACTGAGAAAAATGGGTCAAATGATTATTTCATTCAGAAATTTGTATTGATCACTAGCGAAACTATTACTGCCTGTGAAAAATAAAATAACTGGACCAAAATTATTGATTCATTTGGTATCGCTCACCTACCATAAAAGTTTCTGAATTTGAAACAAGCGTCTACTGATTTGCGGTGCAACAATTAAAATAATCATTTTCATCATTTGTAGTGAATTCTCAACGATTTTGTCGCAAATCATGTTATTGATGGAGTGAATAGGAATATCATTTGTTATGAATGAAAATGATTGTTCGTCAGAATAGAAACTGTTTGCAGCCAATCAGATGCTATTCAACTAACAAAAAAGCACCAGTTTGAGATTAACGACTTTCCATTGTGCAGAAATGAAAATTAATTGTCCACAACAAAACTACTATAGGTTGGTCAATAACAGTTGATTTGAGAAAAATGCTTCCCTATTCGCCATTAAATTGCGGTCCTTTTGATTCCGCAAATATATCTCTAATTGATAACCAGTTCATTCTCATCTCCAACGAATCAAAAACCACTTGGCCTCCATGAGCCGAAATCCATTGAGTCGACATCGTTGCCGATTGCTAGATATAACTCCCCAAATTAGGTACGCAAGTTTGAGATGTGTTGGATCATTTTCTAACCTTATCAGTAGAATATCTAATTCAAATAGTTACATACCAGACATACAACATCAGATAATAGGTATATAGTTTCAGTCTTAACGTTTACTGATAGATGGCGATATATTATGAGGAAATGAACACTATAATAACGCCAAGATCAAAGATTACCATTGATTCTCCTACAGACTCGTAGGCTTTTGTTGAAAAACAAAAAATGATTATATTCTTACAAGAGCTCATATTGATTTTTGATACTACCTACAGTACCAACCTAGTTAATTATAAGTAATCAGAAATATCCTGATGTAAGGGTTCTTAT